CGGTGTCTCCGTGCTGTCAGTGCCCGTGTAAGGCGGTGTCTCCGTGCTGTCAGTGCCCGTGTAAGGTGGTGTCTCCTCCTTGTTCTGATTTGTGTCTCTTAGATGACTAGTGATCATCAGCATTTTTTTCATATCTGTTGGCTGCCTGATGTCTTTGCAAACTTTTGATCATGGTTCAAGTGCTTCAATGTTTGCGTCCCCCTGGGGCCCCACCCCCCACAATCCCACATCACCCACCATTTCAAAACTCAGCAAAACCGCAGCGTCCTGCATTACAAATCGTAGTGCAAGTCCCACTTCTGCCACCTGTTGATGTCGGGATGTTCTGCATGATCCCAGAATCCCCCAGCCTCAGTTTCTTCCTCTATAAAATGAGGAGTTGTGAGGTTCAATGAGGTGATTTAAGGTCATGTGTAGCCTGTTCTCTGGCACGTAATACGTTATTGATAAATAGAAGCCATTGTGGTTGTTGAGACAGCCCCAGTGGTGCAGTGGCAGGTCACATGGACAAGCAGGGAAAGGTTGGTAGTTCAAACTCACCCAGCTGCTCTAGAGGAGGAAAGCCTTGACAAGCTGCTTCGGCGAGGATCAAGGATCAAAGCCTGGTGGGGGGGTGGGGGGGGTGTCTGCCCTGTGCCTCGGGTTGCCGTGATCCGCAGCGGCGGCAGCAGCATGGTGGTGAGCTCACGACTAACCTCAGGGCCTCCAGGAGTGTCACCCTTCTCTGGGGAAGGTTACGAGTGCTTGCCATTCTGAGAGGGCTCGAAGTCCTTAAATATAGATCACCTGCCTGTGAGCAAGTGGAAAACTTGGCTGCAGTCCAGTGGCCCGAAACAAAAATAAAAGTGGGTGGTAACATTAGCGCCACCTGTTCCATGCCCACTCCAGGGCACAGGTGCCCCTGTCAGCAGGGAGCCACAGACCGCGGAGAGAAATGATCCGCTCTGGAAAGAGGGCGTGTCCTTCTTTCCCTCAGGAATCCTCTTCCTCCACGCTTGTGCTTCCGCCAAGAGCGGGGAGTGTGTGTGAATGGGCTGCTGAAAATGACCCCAGAACACTTCATTTTTCACAAGCAGAGATCTGGCCTCTTCCTTTGCCACTAAACAGTCCCAATCTGATTCTTTTTATTTTATGATTGGTAAAGTATCACTGCCATCGAGTGATTCTGATGCCTGGTGACCCTGTAGGACAGGGTAGAATCGCCACAGCATTCCTCTCACTTGAAGGAGTCATGCTTCGTGCTTATCAAATATTGGGGACGTTGTCTCCAGTCTTGATAAGCCTGCTGCTGCAGTGTTCCTCAAACACTGTGGGGTGCTGGAGTAATCCAAACTCAAAAACTCACTGCTGACTCACAGTGATCCTAATGGACAGGGGAGAACTTCCCCTGGGGGTTTCTGAGATTGTAACCCTGTACAGGAGTTGAAAAGCCCTTCTTTTCCCCAAGGGGTGACTAATGGTCTTGAACTGTCAACCTTGAGGGTAGGGGCCCCATGTGTAACCACTTCACCACCAGGTGAAACCATCCAGGGGGTTGCAAAAGCAGGTGCCTAGACTTCATCTTCAGTTACAGGTTATAGGACACAAGTTTTTAATTCCTAGGGTGGCACTGAGTTGGTTAAGAGTTTTTTTCTGAAAACAAGGTGGTAGGTCAAATAAGTTTGGGAACCTACAAATACTCTGACAGTGGTTCTCAATCTTCCCAATGCCAAGACCCTTTCATACAGTTCCTCATGTTGTAGTGACACCCCCCCAACCATAACATTATTTTCATTGCTTCTTCATAACTGTAATTTTGCTACTGTTATTAATCAGGTGACCCCTGTGAAAGGGTTGTTCGACCCCCAAAGGGGTTGCAACCCACAGGTTGAGAACCGCTGCTCTACAAGGTATTTACTTCGCTGCCCAGCTAAAACCCATCAAATAGGTTTCCCGAACACCTGACCCCAGGCCCAGGGCCCTAAGGGTTAGAGTGGAATTTCCTTTCACTCCACAAAAGACTTGCTCAGTGATTTTCTCCTTCCGGTCCCAGAACTGCCTCTTCCCAGGTGACAACAATGAGAAAGTTCACTCTATGCCATAGGCACACCCCACCCCATGCCTAGGAGTGGCGGGTCCGTATGCCTCATGCAGGGGAGGGGCAGCGGGTACCTCGCTACTGCCCTGATTACAAAACTCACTGCCATCAAGTTCCTTCTGATGCACAGCCACCCTACAGAATGGGGTAGACCTGCCCCTGTGAGTTTCCAAGACTGTAACTGTTTATAGAAGTAGAAAACCTCGTCTTTATTCTGCAGAGCGATTGGTGGTCTTGAACTGCTGACTTTGGTGGGCTAGCACACATGCAAAGTGCATGACTGAAGGAATCACCTCCCCAGCCTGTGACAATGATCCAGGCCAATGAACATCTTCATTTTTAGGGGCTCTGAAAATCTCAAGTATTCCACTCTAAGCAGCCAAGATTCAACTAGCGCCTGCTGGCACCTCCTCCAGCAGGGGGCGAAGGTGATGTCTGCAGGCTCTTCCCTGTCGCTGGCAATCAGCAAGCAACTGAGCCAAAATAGTGTCCACTGCTCCACAGGCACAAGTAAGTCCCCAGCGTCAGAGGGCCTCCCTACACAGAGCAGCCCTGACCATCGACCACTCTCGGCTCACCAGTCCCTGCGAGCCGATGGCTCTGGAAAAGAAATGGTGTCCATCAAAAGCATCATCGAGTCCCTGCCTCTTGCCTGACGGAGTATTGCGGAGAACCCAGAAATGACCTGTCCCACATGTTTGTTGTGGTTAGGGGCTGGCCCCTCAGCCCCAATGCAAGGCAGTTGGTGCCCCCACTGACCACTGTCTAGTCCTCCACCTCCCCATGGTCAGCTGTGGATCAGCCCTGTGTGGTCCGTGGGCCTTTCTCTGGCTAGTCTTCAGAAGTAGATCCCCGGGTTCCCTCTGAAGCCATGTGCCTGTCCACAGCCAGCTCCAGCTCACTTTGTCTTTCCCCAGGGAGCTGGGCTAGGTGTCTTTCCTCTCACCCGGACACCCGACTGTGCCCACAAACACTGCACCTGCTTCACAGTCAAAGAAACCCCTCCTCTGCTCACCCTGCGGCGCCCAATCCAGGGCCCTCGTTGAGAAGCCAAGAGTCAGCAGTTTGAGCCCAGCAGCCACTCCACAAGGGAAAGCTAGGGAAGCCGGCTTCTAGAGAGATGACGGCCTTGGGAACTCTATGGGGCAGTTCTCCCGTCTTGGAGCATCACTATGAGTCAGAGCGGATTCAATAGCAAGAGGTTTGGTAAGCTACTGAAACCCTGCGAACTATTTCTTACAGCAGCGAGCTTTCCTCTGGACTATGGTCCCTATTTTCCAGATGCTAATATGCTATAATTTCTAGACATGGCTTTTTAAATGTTCTTTTCAGAAACAAGATGGGGAATAGATTGAAGTAAGGGGGAAAAAGAGAGAAACCTATGTGTATACATGCTCAAGGAGCCCTTGTGATGTAGTGGCTTACACCTTAGGCTACTAACCACAAGGTTAGCAGTTCAAAAGCACCAGCTGCTCCTGGGGAGGTTTTCTACACCAGTAAAGAGTTACAGTCTTGGAAACCCACTGGGGCCGTTCTACCCTTCCCATTGGGTTAGTGTGAGGCAGAACTAACCAATGGCAGTGAGTTTGATTTTTAATTATATATTTATATAGAACTATTTTATATGTGTATAAATATATATGTATAGAAGAGTGGGGGGGGTTCAGCATCTATTTCCCCTTCTTTCTTTTTTCCCCCCCTTCTTCTTATATTACTCTAATGTTCCTTGATTCGTGCCGTCAGCCCACATTTCTAGGGGTGGTTATATGGCCAGGCATGAGCAGCAAGAACCAATCAGAGATCTCCTGGGACTTGTACTAGAAGAGAGAATGGCCTTCTCTCTTCAGTGGAAGCGTGGATGTGGGATTGGCGCTCTTGCCTTCAAGGGTAGGGAAGAAACTACTGAGAATGGTGGATGAAGAAGAAGGCCTTAAAGCAGCTCGCCTGCCAACCTTCTACCCCCATAACGGGGGAGACTGGGGGCGAAGGGGGTGGTGAGGAAAGAAAGCAGATGATCTAAACTAATCTGTAAGCATGCTGATAAGCAACCTCCTGATAGAGTGGCTAGCACACTTTTCCTTATCTATGGAATGTTCTCGGCAGGATGTGCCTGGCTTAGGATTGCTGTGCAAAACAAACCTAGAATCTATGGCTCTATGAGGCAGGGCTATAAAACAGATATGCTGTGTTACACAACCACTCCCTGCTGTGTGAGAGAGTAGCAAACATTGCTTAGAGATCCTAGCTATTATCCTGAGCCACAAAGCAAGTCTGTTGCAGGCAGGAAGGTCCAGAGGAACCTCCTGGAATGTCCCCCACCCCTCTCCGTGTTCCCATTATCTGCTGCTAGGGAGTGCGCACACACGCAAACGTGCACAGGCTGCCTCAGAGGCAATCCTAAAATCTCAAGCAGCCACAAGACTATTGGGGCATCAACTCAGACCTGTACGGGTGCCACGTGCAGGTAGTCTGATGGAGCCACACCATAAGACATCACAAAGGGTCGGCAAATCAAAGACTCACAGGAAACAAGAGCAGCCATTTCATGGCAGGTAAAGCTGGGGGCTCTGAGCGTGCCCCCATTTGCACTGTAGCTGAGGGACTGGGAAGCCTCTCCCCACCCAGTTTTACACACCAGGGGCTATGTGTCTCACAGCAAGATTATAAAGTGACCAGATTCAAAGCGGGACACCATTGACCAGGGGGGTGGGGTGGGGTGGGGTTCTGGATTAAAAATTTGGTCTATATGGACCAAATAGACCGTTCCCTAGCTTCTCATGCATTCTTTCCAAAAATCGGGACTTCTGTAAAATGCCAAAAATCAGGACTGTCCCACCAAAAGCAGGACGTCTGGTCACCTTAAAAGAAGCAAAATGTTTTGAGAATGATGTATAAATGCACTTTACACAATTGATGTGTGTATGGATTGCGATAACAGTTGTATGAGCCCCTAATAAAATGTTTAAAATTTTAAAAAAGAATGAAAAATATGTTCAAAAAAAAAAAAAAGAAGCAAAGTGCTGACTTGCCTGCCTGACCACCTGTGGTGGGGACAGTTAGACGGGTGAGCACTAGCCTGGAATGGGATCTCTTCAGTATTGCGAGGCTTTGAGGGGAGGTGGGTATTGGTTTGTTCTGAAGCCCAAAGATGCCAGCAGTGGGAGGAGCAGGGAAGCTGCCCGGTGTGCCTACAGGCCTGGCTTCTCTCTGCTGCAGGACAAGTTACTTCAAAATGTAGTGCCTTAAAGGATTATTTTATAATCTTTCTTACTCTCTGGCCAGAGATGTAAATGGACACAGGAGGGTCAAGATGTTTGCTCCATAATGGCTGAGCCTTAGCTAAGAGGACCCGAGAACTAGAGGTGAGTCGGTAACTGGGGATTAGCATTATCTGAAGGTGCAATCACCCACGTGCCTGGAGATTACTGTCACCTGGGAGCTGAGCCAGGGGTGAGACGAGGCCCAGGAGGCCTCTCCTCGGGTGGCTGGGCTTTCTCGTGACATGGTGGCTGGGTGCCAGGTAGCATCCCAAGAGAAACAGACAGAGGCCATATCATCTTTTATGACTCCATCTCAGAAGTCAAATAGAGTCACTTCTGCCCTATTCACAGGCCCACCTCATGCAATAGAAGGGCACACAGATGCCCCCTCTCGTTGGAAGGGATGCTAATGTCATATTGGAAGAAGATGATACGGGATGGGAAATCTTGTGGTGGCCATTTTTGAAAATGTAATAGGCTTCACCTTGCTTTGTTTATGCCCCTCTGTTGTTTATATTCTTGAAATTACTAATGAAGTTTGATCCTAGGTAAAATCTCGGAGGTGCCAGAGGAAATCAGAGCCAAGAGATGACAAGCAAAATAGAGCCACGTGGAGCATGCTTATGTGCTGCATTTGGCTGTGTCTGAAAGCCATGCCTGCACCACCCAACCGCAAGAACCAATAACTTTCTCCATGTCAGTTAAGTCCATTTGAGTTGAGGTTCCTGTCGCTTATAGTCAAAATATTTCAAAGTACCATAGTATGGATATATTATGTATGACCTAGTTAAGTGGTGTTTTGGGCTGCTTATGAAAATAAATGCAACGATTGGTCTCTATGCATTTGGGGCACAAGAGAAAAAAGAAAGGCAAGTACTCAAGAAGAAACCAGTCTACAGAACTAATAGTGTACATGAACCACGGCCTCACTTAACTTGAAACCAGAAGAACTAGATGGTGCCTGACTACCACTAGCCACCATGCCGATCAGAAATACAATAAATGGACCCAGATCAAATGGGAGAAAAATGTAGAACAAAACTCAAATTCTTCCTAAAAGATCAGGTACATTGGGCCTGCAGAGACCTCTCAGACTGTTGATACGGTCACTCTGTATCCCCTCTAAGTTTGGAACCCAGAGGCCACCTGACAGTCAAAAGAGTGAGAGGCGCATAAAATATGTAATGTCACCTGTCAGTACCGTGCACCTCTGATAACATTTACCTTAGGCTAGAGATGAGAAGGTGCAAGAAAGTTAGGCTAATGGAAATAGGATAATCATATTGGAAATAATAAGGATATTGGCACATTGTAGAAAGAGTAATAATACGTATAGAAAGTGTTCAATGGAAATGGTCTTTGCTAAGTAAATTTCTCCCAAAGCACGATGAGCTGTGAACACACACACACACATAACTATGCAGCAAGATAAAAATGAGAAAATTAGACACAAGGAGAAACAACAGAAGAGAACCTAAAACATGAAATCAAGAGTGGGAGATTCTGGACACGTGGTGGAGAGAGGTAAGAACCTCTGGGAAACGGTTGGAATGAGCCCTGTGAGCGTTAAGAGAAGTGGGCGTATCCATCCCCTGGGCATCAGGTGGCAGGGCAGGCTTGAGAGTGAAACAAACCAGGATATAGTGCAGCCCTACTTCAAAGGCTTGTGTAGGACTGGCCTCAGTGAGGGCAAAGCTCCTCCTGTCCTTCAAGTTCAATGTTCTTACAAGTCCTTTCACTCACCTCCTTCAGGGGAGGGGCCATGGGGCTGACATGCCTTTCCTCTTTCTAAACTCACCCCACCAGTCCATGCTGACTCATAGTGACCCAATAGGAGCACATAGAACAGGCCCTGTGGGTTCTCAAGACTGGAACTCTTTACAGGAGTAGAAAGCCCATCTTCCTCCCACCGAGGGACTCGTAGTGGCAAGCTGCTGTCCTTTCAGGTCACAGCCCAACATAAGCACTCCAAAGGAGAGATTTTGCAAGCTGAGAAACTAAGCAGCCTCCTGAGAATCGCAGTTAGTCAATACAGAAGCAGGGATTCCAGCACCGTGGCTGCTGGATTCCGTGTCCAAGCCCTGTCTGATACCCCAAACTCTCCGGAGTCCCTTGTCTGAGGGCTTCCTCCTGAAAGCTCCCAGGGCCTTCGGGCTTCTGTCCAGTGTCTAGTCTTGGTGGGATCTTGTTTTATGCGCTCTCGCAGTCTTCTCCCAGAATTCCACGGTGTCTGCTTAGGAAGTATCCTATCCCCGGGTCTGAAATAACAAAGGGAGGTATCGAGAATGATGTTTGCCCGCCTTCCGATGGATGACTGTACCATGTCTTCCAGAGATGTGGCCATTTTAGAGATTTGTTTGACTTGACCTATTTAAAGATCGTTTAGGAAAAGGCGTATGCTTATATCTTAGTTGGAGATGCTAATGTCAGCCCTGCAGCAGACCTGCTGTGTGACTTTGGGGAAATTGCTTCACATCTCAAAGTCTCCTCCCCCCACCCCCTCCAGCCAATTCCACAACTGAGGATCTGCATTGGTTCATCTGTGAGAACTCTTCAAACCCAATAACTTGAGGAAGGCACAATGTCCAAAATTAAATCTATGGTCATGTCCCTAACAAAAAGCCCTTGAAATACTTACGACACTACCAAGTAGGTAGCGAGTGCTGTGCGGCAGGGAGGTGGCTGCCGAGAGAGGCTCCTGGGTGGAAAATAGCTTGGTGGCTGATTTCAGGTGTGTTCCATGGGACAGGGCTCTGTCACCTGAGTCTGAGTAGAAAAGCTCATGAAAAATGTATGCCAGTCTGAAGGAGGACACGTAGTGAATTAGTGATGGCCCCCGGTGTCCACATCCAGGGGTGATGGGGATCTGAGTGGGAGGTGTGGCCCCAAGTCAGAGGCCCTGTGGGGAACACTGTAAACAGAGAGCTCGTGCCAGGCCACTGGGGCTCGGAAGCCGCTCCTCACCTGGTTTGGGGTGTATCCGGGGAATGGAAGGCACCTGCCTCTGAGGGTCAGGTGAGCATGCTCCCTTTAGCAACAGAAGCCGGGACAAACGCTGAGGCCGTCACACCACCAGAGCCTATCCAGGACACCCTCCAGCCTGCCTCCCACAGGACACCACACACCATGGCACCTAGGAGAGGCTGCGGCAGGAGGGAGGCCCCACGGAGATGACAGAGGCCCCACCACTGCCCTGAGCCGGTGGCTCTAAGGCAGTGGTTCTCTGCCTTCCTCACGCTGCGACCCTTTCATACAGTTCCTCATGCCATGGAAACCCCCAACCATAACATTATTTCCGTTGCTCCTTCATCACTGCAATGTTGCCACCATTATGAATTGAGCGACCCCTGTGAGAGGGTGGACTCCCAAAGGGGTCACAACCCACAGGTTGAGAACCGTGGCTCTTAGGCCAGAGGGAGTTTTTAGACAAGGCGACTTCCCTCTCACGCTCACACTGAGCACCCCTGCTGTCAGATGCCCTGCTTCAGAGATGACCATCCAATGGATTCTTGCAGCTAAAGGTCTCCCAGAGCCCTGGGCGGGTTGCACGGTGAGCTACTAAGCACAAGGACAGCAGTTCCAAACTGGCAGCCGCCCCATGGGCGCATCCTGAGGCTTTCTATTCCTATAAAGATGTACAGTCTGTGAAAACCAAAGGGACAGTGGTACCCTGGCCTATAGGGTACCTGGCCTATAGGTACCTGGCCTATAGGGCCTATTGGGATCGATCTGATGGCAGTAACCGTGGGTTATTTTGGAAAGGTCTTCCATGGGGGAGACCCAGGCTGGGTTCCCAGCTGAAGCACCTGATGCGCAGCCTGACCACCTGTGTGCCAGTGAAGACGTGTGCCGAGCAGATTTTGGAATAAAAAAGACCTGGCAACCTACTTCTGCAACCAGCCAAGGAACACACACACACACACACACACACCCCACCATCACATCATCCAGGCCACCGCCGCTGCAGGGATGGCGCAGGGCCAAGCAGCATTTATTCCACTGGTGTGCAGGCGGGGGCAGGAGTCAGGGCTGACTGGACAGCAGCTACCCACAACAAAGACAGGAAGGCCACCTGCACTGACCGGCTAAAGTGGCAGGGAGTTCAAGGACAAGGAAACCTGTGGGAAAGAGTCACGGAACGAGAATTTCTTCATCTCTCAGCCACAACACACTACAACGCAGGGAGGCTGGTCTGGGTAACAGTAGGAAAATCACCCAGTTCCTGCCTGGGAGCCTCCTGCTCTGGGCAAGCACCCAGCGGGAAGCTGGCTAAGGATAGACAGGCTGACAGGGGAAGTCAGCTGCCTGCACTGGAGAGGAGGGGACCCTAGGGGACCGCACGGCATGGGAGCTGCAGCCCAGCCACAGCAGGTGGTGCCGGCCGTCCCCCTGTCTGAGGGAGGCCCTCACTGGGGCGGGCAGGTAGAGGGCTCTGGAGCTCAGAGGCCATGGCATCATCAGTCAGGAGGGGAGTGGGCGCCTTGAGACTGGATGAGGTCGTACCCAGCAGAAGTGCCACATACAGACTGAGAAGATGGGTAACCAAACCCAGTTTGAAGGCGCCCTTTGTTGGGAGGCTGGGTTGGTCACTTTCATCAAGAACTGTACTGGCATAGCTCCGATGAAACACACAACCTTCTTCTAGTTCTTTAATGCCTCCTCCCCCCACCCCCACTACCATGGCCTCAACTCTATTTTACCAATGGTACAACAAAGAGCTCGAAACACAGGGAATCCAGAACAGATAAACCCCTCAGGACCAATAAGGGGAGCAGTGATAGTAGGAGGGTAAGGAGGGGGTGGGGGAGTGGGGGGGAATGATCACATTGATCGCCATGTGGCCCCCATCCCAGGGGGACTGACAGAAGAAGAGTGAGTGAAATGGGACAGCAGTCAGTGCAAAACATGAAATGTAATAATAATTTATAGCTTGATTGTTAGCGGGGCATGGGGGGGGCGGGGTTGTGGAAAAAGGAGGAGCTGATGCCAGGGGCTCAAATAGAAAGAAAATGTTTTGAAAAATATGATGACAACATATGTAGAGATGTGTTTCACAAAATGGATATATGTATGGATTGTGATAACAGTTGTAAGAGCCTCCAATAAAATAAAATAAAATAAAAACTAAAAACATTTTCTACTTGGAAAAAAAAAGAAGTGTACTGGCTGGGGTTTGAACAAGTACAATGTCGCCGAGAGGAATTACTGAAAGCCAAATGAAGGTCAAACATGACAGTGGAACAAAAGGAAAAGGAAATAGAGGAAAGAACAAGGAGGCAAAGGACATTTATACAGGTTTAAATACAGGCATTGCATATGTAAATATATTTATATATAATGATAGGTAACTAGATCTATGTATATATATTTATATGTTAAGTATCAAGGTAGCAGATGGACATTGGGCTTCTACTAAGTACTCCCTCAATACAAGAACACTTTGTTCCAATAACCTGGCATTCTGTGATGCTCACCTTCCCAACACGATTGCTGAAGACAAAATGGGAAGATAAGAAAATGTGGTAAAGAAAGCTGATGGTGCCCAGCTATTAAAAGATATAACATCTAGAGTCTTAAAGGCTTGAAGATAAACAAGCGACCATGTAGGAGGGAAGAAACAAAGTCCACATAGAAGCAGCACACCAGTCTCCATGATCATGAGGTGTCAACAGGATCAGGTATCAGGCATCAGAAGACCCCAAACAAACAATCATATTGATGTGAACAAAGGGGGGACCAAGTGGAGACCCAAAGCCCATCTGTAGACTATTGAACATCCCCTCACAGAAGGGTCACAAGGAAGGGACGAGCTAGCCAGAATGTAGTATAGCACCAAAGA